TTCTATTAGGAATCACAAATCCTGTTTCACACACACAGAATACAATGAATAACATCATGAATAAGAAATACAATAAAAAAGCTAAATCCACAATTTAAAAAAAAATAAATAAGAATTTTGAAATTGCAATTAAATTATGCTTCTTATTTAAGTTTCTTTCATATTGAATTAAAAATAAATAATTTTATTATCAATAAATTGTAAAATTATGATTTTATAACTTATTATTTTATAAATTATGACTATAATTTGTAAAATTATGATTTCATATTTTATTATTATTAGCACCAATTAATTATTATTATTTCAGTTACAGATTTATTACAATATTTTATCACGTTTTTTTTCTAATAATACGCCATTAGTGATCTTTAATTTGAATTAGAATAATAAGTATCGGCATAAAATATGTCTATTATTATGTGTTACTCTATTTTATCTTATGTATGAATAAGACATGGAAATAAATACAAAATAAATAAAAAAATATTATTCATTAGTTGTTATTAATTTGTATCATGCGAATGTTGTCCTTTATGATATATTACATATGACAGCTATGACAGTTCGATGCGTATCGTATTTCCACACATTTTTTATTGTACTGTTATTATTCCTGTAATTAATCAACAGCATAAAAAGATAAAAATAGGAAACAATTACAACAATAAACGCGGAATTACATCAATTCGCAGAATAGAATTGGTGTTTGAAAACACCTTTACTACCATGCAATGTGCCTTGCCTAAGCGCGCGAATTTCGGACAATTCAATTTGTAAACTTTAAACTCTTCTCATTTAAAAACTATTGTAGCCTCGACATATTGGTAGATTTTTCCTCTCAAAATGATCTCAGAAATCTGCTATTCACGCAAAGTCTGGGACACTTTGTATATTATATCTCAATAACTTTTTAAATTAAAATTACATCTTTACAATTCTGAATACTTATGTTTCAAAGTAAATGCAATTTATTGAATTATTGTGTCGAGATACAATTTTATATTATATTCTAACATAATAATAATACATTGATATATTCTATTCCAATATATTAAAAATTCTTTAATTTAAAATTCTAGAATTTTTAATACTAGACATTTTAATACTAAAACGCGCGCGCGCGCGCTATTTATCTTTTTTCAACACAAGAGCAAAAATAGGTATACTACACCGAT